ACACACACACACACACACACACACACACACACACACACACACACTCACACATATATATATATACATATATATATATATATGTATATATATATATAACCATGTATAATTTTGAAATCTGATGAGAATCCTATTTTCAGATTCTATAGTGATTTATGCTTTCCAGTTGTCGATTGCACTCTGGCCAATGACTGCATTGTCGAATGTCCTTGGACACCTTGGTCTGAATGTTCAAAATCTTGCGGAGTGGGAATGAGAGTTCGTTACGTCGATAATTCGACGCTGGTACCAGGGCAGCACTGCACTCAAGTCCTTGCTGACACGGAGGAGTATGAATTTTGCAATAAAGATCCCTGCCCGGGTACATTGTTACATACATTTATCATTTATGCGGAGTAAATGTGCCTGTGATATACATACATTTCCGTATACATTCACATACATTTTGACTTACATATACGCGGTTCTGGAATAAAGAGAACCTCACTGTGGGCGCTCCACTTCCGCTACTGTTAGACATTTAGAATTAAACTATATATATATATATATATTATATACGCTGATTTTGCATGATCCAGTGAATGGCAGCTGGAGCACGTGGGGACCATGGAGCTCGTGTTCTGCAGACTGTGACGGCGGCACGCAACTGCGTTACCGTGAGTGTAACATGCCGCCACCCAAGAACGGAGGTGCCAACTGCCCGGGCAACAGTGTCTCTACGAGCACCTGCAATCTCGATCCCTGCGAAGGTAGGCTTTACACTGTCTTACTAGCACGCTGTTGTTTCTTCTCGTGTGTAACGCACGGTTGAGCGAGAAACTGCAAAGCTATCGTTATGAAGCTGAGATGACACTCGCGTGGATACAGGCGCGTACGTGTGGGTGTGTGGGGGTGCATGTGTGTGTGTGTGAGTGTGTGTGTGTGTGCGCGCGTGCGTGCGTGCGTGCGTGCGTGCGTGTGTGTGTGGGTGTGTGTGTGCGTGTGCGTTTATGTATATTCATTTCATTGATTGCAGAACAATGTGCAGCCGGATTCGAAGTCAGTAACTGCTCAAACACGTGCCCGTATAGTTGTTCCCAGATTGCCACCGATTGCACGTTCAACGGTACTTGTGTACCAGGTTGCAGGTGCCCATCAGGTAAGCATATACATTGTGTCTATATATGTGTCTATATATATACACTAGTATAGATTGTGATTTTATAGTAACTATCCTCTAACTGCGTGTTACTATTATTACTATTATCTTATTCAACGTCTACAATGTCGATGAGTTTCTTTTTCATGGAACCACATCGAAGAAAATTCCAAGAATATTAGTTCAGGATACCGTTACGATAATGTTACGTTACCGTTACGTTCAGGATACCGTTAGAATACGGTTATATAAACTTAACCGCCAACAAAAAAATGCTCTCATTACAGGCCAGTATGAGAGCGACGGACAGTGTGTGGACATAACGCAATGCCCTTGCACAGCTGACGATGGCAAAGAATACCCAGCCGGATATAAAATCCAATTTTCGTGTAAAAATTGGTAAGAAAATATAAAACTAATGTTAAAAACGCAAACGCATCGCAGTCCAAAGTTTTATTATGGCAGATATACGATTTTATGGCATATATATGTGTATATATATATACCATAAAATCGAATACAGTATATATGGTCCATAATAAAAACTTTATACACATATAAAGTTATTACATTGTATTATTTTGTACTACGTTGTATTGTTTGTTTTGCAGTTCTTGCGTCGCGGGAATGTACGACTGTGACGAGAATTGTCCAGTCGACTGCAGCTTCAGTACGTGGTCTACGTGGACAGCATGTAGCGTTATCTGTGGACTCGGAAATGAACAACGGTTTAGGTATACAGACCGTATTCACAGGAACATATTGCCTGTCACTCTGTAATATCGTCCTAAAGCGATCATAGTCTTGATGGGTATGCTTAGGGATGGGTATGTTATAGAATTCGGGCATACACTTGCAGCTGCAGTTTTGTGCGTTGTTCTCACTGCGTGCTAACGCGAACACGTTGCATGGCATTATGTAATATCACCTTAGAACGGTCATAGTCGTGATGCGAATGTTGGCGTAATATCGACATGGTCATAGTGCGAATCTTACGTTTGTTGATATTCAGAGCTCCAAACGATCCTCCGGCAAGCAACGGTGGCAGTCCGTGTGTTGGTGAAACCGAGGACACTCGTGTATGTGACAAGGGACCATGTCCACCTGACTGTATCATCGATGGAACACCTTACACACACAACGACACCATATACCAGGACCCTTGCATGCACTGGTATGTTGTTACCCTTATATACGTAAGACACATGAGTCTTTTTTTCGGGAAAAAAGGTTCGCGACAGCACTGCGAATTGGGGCTTCTCTCTCCCGAGACTTCCACGATTTTGGCGAATGATATAGTTATAAGTTATCGACTAGTTGTTTCGACTTATTGTTTAACCTTATACACTGTACCTTATACCTTATACCTAATACTTTATACCTTATACCTTGTATCTTATACCTTGTACCTAATACCTTATATCTTGTACCTTGTACCTTGTATCTTGTATCTTATACCTTATACCTTATATCTTATACCTAATACCTTATATCTTATACCTTATACCTAATACCTTATACCTTATACTTTATACCTTATATCTTATACTTTATACCTTATCACAAAGCCGCTTATAAGGTTTTATATTTAAACAGACTATAACACTATTAATTGTTGCTTTCAGTATTTGCTACATAGACAGAGAGCTTTGCGTCTTGAGTGAATGCAATCGTACGTAATATAAATATATATATATATGTATATATATATATATATATATATATATATACATATAGCTCTCTCGTAAATTCATTGTTATGTTCTATCTTGTATTTATTTTATAAACACACGTATTTTTATCTCATCGCTCAGAATGCAGGGACAGAGCCATATAAAGCTTGACCGAATGTCAAAAATGATTGTCATATGTCAGTATATCATATCGTTAGCATGTAGATGTTTTGAAATGTTTATGTAATTCATTCGCAATACCAGAAAATAACTAGCGAACACGCGCGCGTGCGTGTGTGTGCGTGTACGTGTGCGTGCGCGCGTATTTATCTGTGCGTGCATCTTTCTGTTTGTGACCTCGTGCCTACGTCACAGCAACGTGGACCGAGTGGACACCCTGGACACAGTGCTCGCAGACATGCGGACCTGATGGCATTGTGCGACGATACCGCGAGTGTCTGAAGCCGAATGGAGTTGTTAGCCACGACTGTATCGGCATGTCAGAACAAGCGGAAACCTGTAACAACCCACCGCTAGATGACTGCCCGGGTAAGTCGTTGCCGTCGTCATCGTCAGCGTCGTCGTCATCGTCAGCGTCGTTGTCGTCGTCAGCGTCGTCGTCGTCGTCGTCGTCATCGTTCTATTATTTTTCCCGATTGTTTTTCCTCTCGTGTGGACGTGCAACCCGGATTATCTTTCCTCGTGTAGAAATGCAAATCGGATTATTTTCCCTCGTGTAACCGCCTAGTCTACGCCACCCTTTTTCCTCGTGTATGCATGACTAAGGTTGTTGCCGTATTTTCGCCCCTCGCAGTCGACGGCGAATGGTGTCCATGGAGTCCCTGGAGCGGCTGCTCGAAGACGTGCGACAGTGGCACCACCTCGCGGAACAGAACCTGCGACTGCCCGACGCCTGCGAACGACGGCGTTCCCTGTCACATGGACGAGATCTCGTGGAACGCTCAGCATCTGCCGTGCGCGAGCAATAATTGTCCTGGTAGGTAGCGCTGCATGCGCAATCAATGCTTCGGGTCGATAGGAGACATAGGGGAAGGGTGTAGCATGGGCACAAGTGTACGTGCGAATACGTATAGCAACATGGTACGCGTAGGTACGTGCGTAGAACACGTAGGTGGGACGTACGTAGGTATCAATTAATGCGGGTCGATGGGAGACATAAGGGAAGGGGAGGGTGTAGCGTGGGCACACGTGTACGTGCGAATACGTGTATAGGAACGTGGTACGCGTAGGTACGTGCGTAGGTACGTAGAACACTTAGTACATGTGGCCTGTTCGCGTTATTGTAATATCAGCAGGCTCGGGTGACTAACAAGAGGCCGACTTGACACTGCTTATCCAGTGTAGCTACGTCACTTCGTCGTATAAGGCCCAGTTAGGTCGCTACACCGTATAGCACCCATCACAGTGACACGCGCAGCTTTGCGCAGTAGACACGCTTGTCGAATTCCTTCACGGATTCTTTTACGAATTCTTGCGTGGATTCCTTCGTCTCGTCGCCGTATACTCTCTCTCTCTCTCTCTCTCTCTCTCTCTCTCTCTCTCTCTCTCTCTCTCTCTCTCTCTGTCACACACGGAGTTGAGTTAAACCCGCTTCGCCTTGTTATGTCGAGCTGTGACGGTCCCGGGATCGGTGGTACGCGAGTGGGTCGGACTTTCACTGAGAACTATGCTCTGCGGGACTAACGCGGCGCTCAAGCGCTTGTTGTGGTTTCAGAGCCCCCTGCCAGTTTCGCATTGGACTTGAGAAAATTTTTTGCGCGTGGG